TCCTTGCTTCCTGCCTCTCCCAGCCCCATCCCTTTCCCTCCCCAAACCCCACAGCCACACCATCCCAAGCCCTCCTCACCATGGATAATTCTCCAGGAACGCTCCCAGTGATCCCATACCCACAGCAGGCCCCGAGCTCATCCCAAACCCTGCCCAGATATTGACCTTTAGCTCCTCCAAAGGCTAAGCCAGCTCTCCCAGCAGCCAGGAGGGACCTGCAGCAGGGAGAATTTCCAAACTCCACACACAAAGCCTGCAGTGGCCGTTCCCAGGCTTTGGAGGAGCACAGCCCAGTTCCAGTGTCCCAGCACAGGTTTTCCTGGAGCAGAGCTTGGTGTGAGGCACAGAGACCCCGATGGAGGGGATGGAGCTGCTGATTGCAGCAGGGAGGGAGTTGGGAGCTGGGACGTGAAACCAGAGAGGGGAAACGTTTAAAGCTTTAATCTTGGAAACAGCTTCCTGATAGGAGATTTATGAGCACTGGGAATTGTCTCCTTTGCAGAGGGCTGGAAGCTGTGCTGCTGAAACCAGACCGGATAAAAGGGGAGACAACACAGCAGGAATGGATTTGGGCTGAGCAGAGGACAGGACCCCGAGGTGCCCCCCAAACCCACACCTGGGCCAGGAGGGACCAGCAGAGCTTGTCACAGCACTCAGCACAGCTCCGGCGACACAAAGCTCTCTCCCCATGGCAGCCGCTCCTGGGGCTTTACACAACCTCATTTTTGGCCAATTCCTGCCGTGGTAGCCAGACCCCAGGGCTTGACACATCCGACTTTTGTGTGGGAGCCTGTGCAAGGGGCAGGTTCATTAACACGTGTTTAACTTGGACCTTGGAGGAGCTGAACTTTTCCTGACTTAGCTCTCCCTGTATCTATATCCCACTTTCCTGTAATCAGCCTTTCCCTTTTTCCTGCCTTGGCCTTTCCCAGTGAGTTCCTGGGTATTGGTTTTCTCTGGAGCTGCTGGAGGATGTGGGAGTGACAGCTCTGGCCTTCCAAGCTCTGTATTCACCCCACATTTATCCAGCTCCTCTTCCAACCTCAGCATGACCTGAAGGGCTGAAAAGATGAAGGAGATAAGAGCCAGCACCTCTCCAAACCCAACAGAGAGAGTCATGGAATGATTTGGGTTGGAAGAGACTTCAAAGCTCTCTCATTTCCACCCCTGAATGGCCAAGGACATCTCCACTAGGCCAGGTTGCTCCAAGCCCTGTCCAGCCTGGGAAAGGTTTTGTTGGGAAGCTCATCCAAGGCTCGGCCTCGTAAAGCTGCCGAGCCAGAGCCCTGAGCAGGGATTAGATGCTGAAGTGTGACCTCAGCCGGGTGCAGAGCTCTGACTTCGGGCTTATTGCCCCAAAAAAACAGCAGTGAAATCACTTCATTCATCCCCAGAGCCTCGTTTCCTTCCTTCCTTCCTTCCCCCGGCCAAGCTGAAGCTTAAAATAGTATTGTGCATTCCTCCTATTTCACTCCAGCACTAATTAACACCCAATCAGCCCAAAGCTCTTCCCACAGCAGCCTGGCCCCACGGTGCAACCTGCCCACCCTTGGCAGCAGCAGGAGCACCCAGCAGGCCCCCAGCTCCTCCCAAAAGCCAATTTCTGATGGAGCATCTGGAAAGAGCCGAGCTGAAACAGGAAAACACCAGAATTCCAGCCCCACGTGCACTTTTACCTCCGCCCCACGTGCACACAGAACCCTGCAGTGCCCATGAACAATCCCAACCTCGTGAGAATCCCCCAACACCACGAACAGAGGTTCCAGCAGCTCCTAAATTAGGACAAAACCCACAAATTAAGCTGGGCTGACCCCACTTCCAGCCTCATGGATAGTTTGAACCCAGCTAAAAGAAAAATCTTGGATTCAGCACAAGGCGTGGGACAGGGAAGATGGAGCCCAGCTCTTGCTGCACTTGGATTTCACAACCTTTTCTCAGCCCTCTCAGCAGCCCAGGCCAAGTGTGAGTCAAACGGGGCTGGAAAGGAAACGTCATCCAGGAGGGTCCAGATGTGTCACCCACAAGACATCAGCCCCCTCATGCAGCATCTTCCACACACGCCAGGGTCTCGGAGGGGCTGTGGAACAGCAGAGGTGTAGAAGAGTGGCACAAACATGAGGAAGATGTGGCAGCTACAGGGGAGGGAGGAAAGGTCAGACACACCACGCCTGACGCGTTTTTTGGTTTTCAGCCCAAACTTCCACCCACAGATCAAAGGCAAGGGCGGCTGGAGCACTACAGGCAGCTCATGAGCAAGAGCTGGTTCATCCCTGTGCATTTACTGCTTAAAAATAAGCGTAAAATGACACAAAACCATAGCAAGTACCCCACATTGCTGTAGAGCTGCATTCCCTCCCCTGATAGCTGTGAGGAGGAGGGAGCAGAAGGTAGGACTCCAAGGCACCCCCAAAACCAGGGAACTGTCAAAGGAAATACAAAGGGGCACTTTGTGTGTCTGGCTGACTTGACGCTGTTCAGTTGTAAATTGAACTCAGTAGTATCAGGGATCCTCCCAGCCATGCCCACCCTCAGGGGCCATTACAGGGCAGGCCTGGGGGAGCAGGCCCCTGTGACCCCCTCACACCCAGGTGTCCCCAAAGTGAAGCCTTAAGGAGCTGCCACAAGGGACAACACCTCTCCCCAAGGTACAAGGGCTGTACAACGGCCTTCTTTCCCTGCTTGGGCAACCCTGACACTCATGAGGGGGCTGTAGCAGCCCCCGAACAGGCCTCGGAGGGCGTACAAACAGCTAAGC